TAACAACTCTATGAAACAGACACTATCATTTTCACCATTTTCCAGATGAGGAAACTGAGGCACAGAGAAATTGAGAGTTTCCCTTGGCCACAAAACAAATTGGTGGCAGAGCCAGAATTTTAACTTTGGGCTGTCTGGCTCCACAAGCCGTGTTCCTAACCTCTGTGCTGCCTCTCAGTGTATTAGTTTAGTATTTGGCATATGCATTGTCATGGTTTCTTTCTCTACTTGTGTTTTATCTGTGTTTGTATCTTTCTCTTTGTGAGTGTTACTGTGCTGTAATAGAAGGAGTCTGGGTTTTGGAGCCACCAGATCTCATTTAATCTTCCCAGATCCCTGAAAGGTAAACTTTGCTAGCCCCTATTTTATAGATAAGGAAACCTGGGGTTCAGAGATGTCACGTAATTTGCTTTGGTCTGATTCTGAGCAAATTATAGCTCTGTATTTCAGATTTACTTACCTGTAAAAAACAGGAATAATCATACTTTTCAGAGTTGTTGTGAGGAATAAATGAGCATTTATGAGAAGGGTAAATTTTAGAAATGTCACAGTTGCTGCTTCCTTTCACTTCATCCCTTCTCCTCTACTATACAGTGACTTGTTAAGAACAAAAAGCTGAGAACACAGTTAAACTGTATTGGACCTGTTTTTCCTGGCTTACTATCTGTATGTAGAATTCTTCTCTTCTCCCGTGCCCCTCTTTTCTTCCTCAAAATGGAAAAAGTTCAGGGAAAAAAGGCCTCACTGAACTCCAGCATTGTTAAATGTGGGCAGTGTTCGCTGTTCTGCTGCAGCTGGAATTTTTGTTATGTTGCTTCAGTTATGAATCTTGCCAGTAATTACCCTGAGGGCAGTGTTAGTTCATTATTCAAGTGCAAACAAGAAGGGAGATAGCAATTTTCAAAGAAGAGCTAGGAAATATTCTTCTGTACTTAATCTGCAGGAATGGAAGCACTTGTACGCTTGTTCAGAGAATCTTAATACAAGGTCACGATGTTAGAGAATTACTTGAATATAGTCTTAGAATTTTGAATTTCTAAACCTGAGTAGAATTTCGAATTTCTAGACCTGAGTCATATCCCAACTGCAATAGTGAGGAAGGACTCTGCAATTCTGGATTCTCAAGAAACACAGTAGAATTGTTTTTTGAGATATCTATCCTAATTAACATAGTTTCTGAATTCTCCCAGCAAAACAAGAGGGTATTATCAATTAACAAGTTCAGTAAAATTTTAGAACCATTCGAGAGCAGTTGTTCTTAAATCAGCTAAGTTCATGTACCCTTAATTGTAAAATAGGTCCAACTTTTTTTGCCTCTGTCTTTCCCAAGTATTTATGAAGTGTTTTTAAAATTGTCACTTTCACAACCCAGTCTGTTTCAAAATGCATGTTTGAGGCCCTTGCATGTGTGGTTTTATTAATTTACTTACTGGTTTTTAATATTTTTGTCAGAAATGGCCAAATATCAGAAGTATTTTTAGTGTCTTCCTGTAAGATTTAGAACTTGATGAGGAAATATAGAATAGGAAACAGCTGGATTTGGTTTCTTTTTCCTCCACCCTTTCAAAAAACTGTTTTTATTCTTCTTGTTAAGTTTCAGTGTTTCTTCCTTCCATCAAAATATAACAAAGAATTTCTCTTTGGGATTTTGATTTTACTCTTTAAGAATTCTTCAGAGGATAACCTAAATCTGGTTTGCTATCTTTTACTTAAATCCATTTCCTTTTTGGAGTTATATCTAGTTATTTTTATCATTTTACTTACCCTTTCCATATTTTAATATAATTTGTCTGAAAGTTTTTCCTTTATATATTAACTAATGCTAGTTTTTGTAGCTTAAGTTGTCTTTGCAGAATGGGAGCATTAGTTAAATCATTCAGATTTTTAAACATTAAAATGGGATAGATGGAGAAGTGAAATGACTTGTCCTTTACTAATACATGGGTCATAAACAAAAATGAAGATAAGGTTCCCCAGTCCAATGCTGAACTCTCTATTTATTCTTGTAAATGTAAACTTTTGCATTTTCTTTCTAATAGAAATATTGGACACTTAATACCATGGGCTTTTGGGTCAGAATCTAATGTAGTAGAACCCACATACTTAAACAGTATCTTCTCAAAATAAACTTTAACACAGTTAAGTTCCAAAAGAAGAATAAATGATTTGGGTGGATGGAGAAGGATGAGATTGTCATGATAATGCAAAAATTATATCCCTGACTTGGATCATTATTTTTCTGGCAACAGCTCTTTAACCTCTTGTAGAAAAACTATTTACACCTGTCCCTTTCTATTTTTAAATACATGTCCATACTTTTTTTTCCTATATAAGATTATATTGAATTATGTGTTTCATCTGAAGTCTTATGACACCACAAAATAAGCATAGCTATTTTTTGCCCAGCAGTTTTAAAATCAGTTATTTTGACCATTAGCGAAAATTACATATGTGACATATGAGCCAAATGATGTAATTTTTTAATGCAGTGTCTTAATAAGTGTTAATTTTTAATTAAACTTCTGTGCATCAAGTACTGTGCATAAAACCCTTTCCCTGAAAAGCCTAAATTTTAGTCCAGTGTGAATATTTTATGCTCATGTAATTAAAATTCTTTATTTTAAAATAAATAATTGTAGTAGTTTATAGGCTTTTATAGCCTTTTAAAATATGAGATAACAATAATTGATAAAATGAATTGGAAAATGATCATTTTTAAAAGAAAAATAAATGGAAGGTTATGTTGTACATTATAATAGAAAGATTTGCATTGTTTTAGTGAAAAAGCCCTTTGCTTGTTATTTTTTAGCAGCAGTAAAATGGTACATGTAGTATAACATTTTCTTGTATAACTTAGCTTGTGTAATTACTTTAAAAATTGAGAAGATTTCTGGTTCAAAATAGCAAACTGACCACATACCTTTATTTCTCCCCAAATCCTACAGAAGCAACAGGAGAAATAAAAGTTACACATTGGGGTGAAACCATAGCAGTACTGAGACAATGAAGTGGGGAGACTATGACATAAAGTGGCGGGGTTGGTTCTTTTTGAGGATAAAAAGTAAATGACGGTATATTGATGGATACAACGAAGTAGAGAAAATCACAACTCAGAAAACTCAGAACACAGGAGGTGCTCTGGTGAAAATGGGAGCTGTAGTCTCCAAGCTCAAAGCAAGCATGTAAAGAGAGGGGCAGTAGTTAGGAGAGTTTTCTAGAGAACTGTCTGGCATTGGTTCTCAAACTTTAGCATGCATCATAATAACCTGGAGGACTTGTTAAAACACGGATTACAGATGCATGACCCAACCCCGTAGTTTCTGGGGTAGGTCCAAGAATTTACATTTTTAACAAATTACCAGGAAATGTTGATGCTGCTGGTCTGGGTGCTACACTTTGAGAACCATGTTTTGATAACCTCTGGTCCATGAAACACCTAGACCAGTCCAAGGCTATGCCAGCCTGTAAGAATCAGGGAAAGTGCACCTCCTTCAATACTGCTGGCACCCCTCTGGACCCAGTAGCCTTAGTCTTGGTGTGCAGAGTGTAGGCTAAGTCTCACACTTTTACACAGTGCATGTACTATACAAGTATGTACCTGGCCCCACCCCCCCAACTTCTGTGTACACACCCACAGAGGGCTAGGCTTCCCTGATGGTGCCTAAGAGGGAAGCAGAGCTAGGATGGAGGTAAATCCAGAGTTTTGTAACAGATTTAAAGAAAAAAATAATAATAATAAAGGTGATTCTACCCAAGAGGAAAATACAGCAAACTGTTGTGTGCAGATGGTTAAGCACTCAACTATTATTCCAGAGGTTGGTGTTTTCAGCAGTTTGCTGCTGTTTCATTTTCTCTTTTATATTCCTCATCTGAGGGGCTAATTTCTTTAAAAAACTAATATCTATTATTAGAATCTCTACTTCAAATTTACATTCAATATTTTTAATTTAGAATATTAAGGTTTGCTGATATTCCTTAATAAAGTAGTATTTTCAGTTTCTTTAATTTTCTGTGGCTATGTTATGAACAGCATGCATATTTTCGTACATTTTTTGGGTGAAGTAGTTACTTGATTGATATTTTCTCAGAAAAGATCATTTCCAAGTTTAGAATCAATCATTAGGATACTGTTGTTAGTTGCCATTGAGTCAATTCCAGCTCATGGTGACCCCATGTGTACAAAGTAGAACTGTGCTCCATAGGATTTTCAAGGCTGTGAACCTTTTGGAAGCATATTGCTAGGCCTTTCTTCTGAGACACCTCTGGGTGGGTTTGAACCACCAACTTTCGTTTAGTAGTCCAGTGCTTAACCATTTGAGCCACCCAGGGACTCCTAGAAAACTGTTTTCCATGCCTGAGAACTGTTCTCATCCTACTCTTGTGCTTTGAAGGGAGTTATGTGGGAAGTAAGGTTAGTTAAATCATCTACTTAGTGGGCACAGTGTCATTGAGGGAAGGGCTTGGTACAGTCACTTTAATGTGATAAAAAATGAAGTCCTCAGAGTTCTGATATTAATGTGGGTTTTCTGAGTAAAAAGGAAAGAGAAAACCCTTGTAATGTATAATATACCTTTAAAGTACAACACTAACAATAGAAAATAACTTTTAAATTTTGTTCTGGTATTCTTTCTGTCCTTGTAGGTAAGATTCACCCAGGATTTTAAATTCTAAATGAGAAAACTAGTATTTGTTATCTGTTATGTATTACTTTGAAGAATCTTTGCAAAACGTTTGACTCATGTATCTTCCTGTTAACAAAGGGGCAACCAAAACCCCAGCCATCTCAGTAGTAATAACTATGTAAAGTATATGATAACTATTTTCAAGTAACATTCATGCTTTGAGATGGTGCCTTAAGTTTTACTCACAGATCTTTTAGCCCAGGAGAGTTCTGATAAATCTCAAAGGAGAAAAGCTTACAAAACTCCCCACCCCTTTTCCCCAGATCAGTTAAGTTGTTACTTGTTTTTCAACTCAAAAATAGATGTTTCAGTGCTAAATTTTTTTTTTTTTTTTTTCTGAAGTGTGATATCTAAAAAGGGATTTCAGGGTCAACAGAAGAAAACATGTTTACAGTGTTTTCTTATGCTTACTTTTCTTGGGTTATAAAGGACTGCCTAATTTTTTCACTAGTGTGTTTGTTTCAAAGGGTTTACTTTACTTTAGATTTATCTAAAAAGAACTCAGGATCCCTTAAATAAAACCCCCTCACCAGTATTTTATTGAAAATAGATTTACTTGTCTAGTAAATGACTGTGTTTTTTCTGAAATCATATACAGACTCAGAGACAGCAAAACTTAAATTTAAATCTTAAAGCAAAAACTCAGTGACAGCAAAACTCAAATTTAAATCTTAAGCGTATTTGTCCAAAGTTGTATTTAGGACTTGAAAGATTAAGACAGTAAAAATCAGATATTGAATGCTAAATCTAACAAAGTGCTGAAGCATTTAATTACATGTCCTTTTTCTGAAATAGAAAGCATTCTTTTTTAGTTGACTTTGGAGATTAAAAAAAAAGATGGTGGAAGATGTAAAGTTTTAGTGTAGTTGGTAGTTTATATCTGAATTATAGCTTTATGTTTAGTGAAATGAAAATGTAGTTGTGCTAAGTTATTTAGCCGTATGGCTTTGCTGTTTTATGTAAGGAACTATGTCCTTACGTCATAATTTATTTTGACATATGATAACATTTTGTTTATTTGAAGTAACGTATTTCAACTATTCACTATTTGGCTTTGACTTATTAGGAAAGAAAAGCATGTTATATGTCTGTATCTATCTTTCTGTGTTTCTATCTATCTAATAACACTTTCTAAGCAGCAAGTACTGTATTTCACTTGTTTAAAGTGAAATAAACTGTAGTTTTTCTGACCTAAATGCTTAATTTAAGATCCAAGTTCTTTATTGTGACATAAACGTATGTTTAGCATGTATCTCTGGAAGTATTTTATTTTTTAAAAATTTCCTTGACAAAATAGCATTCTATTAGTTTCTTCCCTCTAAATTTTTGTGGCATGTATCATTTTGAAAATGAGTGTTGTTATAGCCAAAAAATGGTTTGAAATCATAATTTACAAGTATGCTATATAGTTAGATAGCCTCTGCTTTTTATAAATTGCCTACAAAGACAAAACTCCAAAATATAAGAGTAATTGCCCAAGATCCTCAAATAGCGTTAGTATGTTATCATTCTACAGAAAACTACATTTTAAGCTATTTTTGGGAAAATACTTAAAAAAATACTGTTTCAAATTACTCTCCGTTTTCATTTGTTATTATAGTTTAAGAAGCATAATTAGTAGTTTTAATTCAAATTTAAGTAGAAATTAAATATATGTTGAATAAAAACATTAAGTACTTAAAGCTTCAAATATGTATAAATCATTTAGTGTACGAAGGAATTCAAAGACAGTAAAGATGGTCACCACATGATTTAAATCAGTCACTTAGATTTTGAACAGCTTAGGGCTGTTTTTAACGAAGAGAAAGGTACAAATGGCTCAGAAAAATAAAATGGAATGTATACAAGATTGAAATATGTTTTAATACTTAACACCTTGAATACAATTTTTCTCTATACTACAAGCTTTAAAATGTCTGTTTTCATCTTCTCTCAGCGGTGGAATAATAGTCCAAGAAAACACTTTTCACAGTTGAAGGAGATTGTAGGTTCTGTTTCAGTGAAGTCCCAGTAGTTTATTTCAAGCAGCTTATATTGTCAACTCATTGTCAGATATCTTGGTTTTTAAGGTCTGTAGGTTGTGTTGAATAAAGCTGTCCGTGCCATGAGCTTCAGAAAATCTAGACTCACTTCTCCTAACTGACCAGTTTTTCATTTTTATTGAATTCTGAATTGTGTCCGATGTAAAGTAGTAAATTATAGGGTCAAAACAACAGTTTGTAACAGCAATGCAGAGAGTGATTGGATACATTGTCCGTACTGCGGCCACGACTAAGCAATTTACAAATGTTTGTGTTCGCATAAGAGAATATAAGATAAGGTTGATATTGTAAGGCACAAAACAGAAACAAAATATGACCAAGTGTACAAAAATCATTTTTAAAACCTTAGTCTTGTTTATTTTGCTTCTACTTAATGTAACAGGTTTATTTAAAGTTCTTAGCACCATACTAGAACAAGTTACATTTAAAATCAGAGGAATAAAAAATCCCACTATTTCAATGAAAATCACAATCCTTGAGAGATATGTTTTCCACGTGGCTTCTGGAAAATTTTCAAAGCAGGCTTTTGAGGTATTGTTACCCTGAGAGTAGGTAGACTGAAAAAAACCCGCTGGAGCGCTTCCTCCAAGCACAGTTAGCCACACGACAATGCAGACAATTTTTGCATTTCGTTTGGTTCTTAGAGTCTTTGACTTAAAGGGGTAGAGGATCGCCAGAAATCGATCTACACTAATGCAAGTTAAGAACAGAATGCTTCCATACATGTTGGTATAAAACAGCATCACTGAAATCTTACAAAGTAAATCTCCAAATGGCCAGTTCCGTGTTGTAAAGTAAAAAATCCTGAAGGGTAGAGTAAAAACGAAAAGCAAGTCTGACATGGCCAAATTAACCATGTAAGTTGTAGTTTCATTTCGAATTTTGAGCGTGCAGATGAAAATGTATATGGCAACACAATTGGATATTAATCCAAGCACAAACACCATACTAAACACACACCCATACAAAGTGTACTTAAAGGAGTCATCATAGGAGCAGTGGGAGCTGTTAGTGCTTACCATCATAAAGGCGCTCCCAGTTTACAGTGGTGACGTCCTTTTGTCAGCTGCAGTCTCCTTTGGCAGAAGATCGTGAACACTTTATAACCTCCGATTATTTGCAAATTCTTTGGCTCTTTGGATGGTTTTATAAATATTTCCTTTTTCTCTGGAATCGCCAAAAGAAACATGAAATTTGTTGCTGTGAAGTTTCCGCTGGGTTCTTTAATGGGAAAACATTCTCCTCTTCTAGTCTCCAGAAAATCTGTGAATCCAGGCGTTGGTTAACTGATGAGAAACTTTTAAAAAATGCAGTCAGTAAAGCCAGCCCATGGGATTAAAGAAGAACTGCGTTCGGAGACAGCAATAAAACAAGTTTTAAGCTTGTGTTTTGTAAACTTGTAGTTTTGTAAGTTTGTATTTCAGTAGTCAAGGCAAATGTTCCAAAATTAAAGTTTCTTTAAGCTCCGGTATGTTTAAGTTGAAGTTATCAATCTTACTTTGCTTTCCAGTGCAAAGTTTCAGAGACTTAAGCATTCCTAATTTGTTCTCATTTGCTTCTTGTTCCTTTTGAGTAAGATTTTCCTTTTTGGTGTTCCTGCAGTGGATCCCAGATGGTGGTGAGCAGAAGTGTCTTTTAAAGGTCCCAACTGAATTCCTAAGCGTGTTCGCGCTTGCTGAACTGAGGCGTTTTCCACAGTTGCCAGCTGTATTGTGTGATTGGCTTTCTCTGAAGTGAAAAAGAAAGGCTTGCTAGATTTGTAATATGACATCACAGGAAGAAGAGGCTGGGCTTGGACAAAGAATGGTTTCAGCCTAGTTTGTTTGCAGTTCCTTTAATCTGATAATGAGTCTGCTGGGAATATACCTAGGAGGCTTGCAAATGGTCACTGTTTAGCTGAGCTGTCTGCCCATTAACTCTTTTTGTGCAGAAATGCCTTCTAGGGTACTGGCCACCTCCCAGGGAGAGTTGTGGTTTTTCTCCTGGCAACAGTTGATGGTTAGGAAAAGAAAAAAATCAGTGTTAAGCCTATTTCCCTCTTTCTCAATTGCTTTTGTGTTTGAGATGACACTGGGTTTTTGTTTTGTTTTTTAATAAATGCACATGAGTGTGTATTTATAAATTGAAATTAGTTTTATCTTAGTATAGCATATTTTTAAAAAACTTTAATGACTGTAAAGGAGAGAGATTTAACCTTTAGATATAAAAAAGATTTGACGGAGGGACCAGTGGTGGTTCTACTACTCTTGGCTTCTGTTTTTCTTAATTAATGCTACTCAGGATTAACTTAATTTAAATGGTGTGATTGTGAGTAGCTGTAATTCTGGATCTCTTTAGTTTCGATAAACAATTTTCTAACATTCTTTCCTCTTTCCTGTGAAATTGAATTAATATTTTAGAGCTCTTTTGATTTTTAAATAATCCCTCCTGACAAAGAACAAATTCAAGAATTTTTATGTTTAATCTGTTATTAATCATACTTTACCCATAGATTTAGGCACAAAATGAAATTATATGTTTTTAAATAAAACTCCCCCCCCCGCCACTGACTTAAATAAGTTTTAGAGAGTTAAAAGTTCTACTACTTGGCTAAAATTTAGGTTCATAATTTTAGTTTCATTCCGCCATACCTTTCCCCACAGCCCTTAATATGACATTAACTATATATTGGAATGTGGTTCAGATTTTGTCTTCATTTAAAAGTTCCTGTGAGTGATTTATCTATATATTTAAAATATACTCATTTTTTTAAAGCTCAAAGAAATAGGAAGAAGAAAGTATATGTAGGGGTGGGATAGCTGAATGTATGTTATTTCCTTAAGGGCTGAAGATATCACAACCTCTGAGACACATTTTTCTTATTTTAAACTATCATTTTACAGAAAAGGCTAGATCTAGTTGTGTTTGACTGTTGTTTCAATTTGGTTTAGTTTTTACTGAAACTCTTCAGATATCAATTAAGGAAATTTAGGGAGTTTAAGGGCAATTTATTTTTCTTTCATAAATTACTTAGCTAATCTAAAAGTAACATGTTACAGCAACATGTTTGAATGCCTTTTTAATTTGGACTGCTCATGCTCAGCAACTTTTGTGTTTGTTGATGAATGTCCCCTGAATTGTAAACTATTTTTTTTTTGCTTAATCATAGGAAATTCATCTGTAAGCAAGTGACACACACACACACAAAAATATGTATTAGTTATAACAAATAAACTTAAAACTTTAAGTTGAAAGGGTTGAATTTCTTTATAATACCATATTTGAACTCAACGGCAATGGGTTTGGGTTTTTTTTTTTTAATCACATTTGGTGTGGAAGAACAGTAGTATGTGTATGATCGTATTAGAAGGGTAGTGGAAACTTTGAGTAGTAAAGAAAACAGGAGTAGCTAATAAACTTTTCTCATTGGAGAAAAATTTTCTGTTACAGATATTTTAAAGAAGACAAAATTTTAGCAATCTTCTTTCAAATGGATAATGTCCTGTTTAGCCATCAACACAAATCATCATTAAATAATGAAATGTAAGCAGTTAGATGCCCTGACTTTGTCTACTTTTACTTTTATTTTGAGCATGGCATCTTTTCAGTTGAAGAATTAAAATGTATTAATTCTACATTTCAAATACTCTTCCGTATGTTGATGTTGTTATTCACTTGAAAAGATTTTTTTTCTTTTTTCCTGGGAATAAGGATACCTTAACTGTTCATTTGTAGCTTTTTCATGTTTGAGTTATTGGTACTTAAAAACAGGTAGTTAATTTACTATTCGTTGAATTGAGCTTTTTGCTATTATTAGTATATTAGTCCTGACTTGGAGCCCTGGTGGTGTAGTGGTTAAGAGCTCAGCTGTTAGCCAAAAGGCCTGCAGTTCAAAATGTCAACAGTTTGAATCCACCAGCCGCTCCTTGGAAACCCTAGGGGGCAGTTCTGCTCTGTCCTGCAGGGTCACTTGATGGCAGTGGGTTTAGGTTTGTTTTTGTGTTTTTTTTTAATCCTTAAGCTTGTATTTCTAGTTCTTAGCACAATGCCTGACCATTAGAAATCCACGTGTTGGTGATGAATGAATCATATCAGTGAATTTGAATTTTGTTGAAAAGTGTTGCTATTGAGGAAGAGCAGAGCGGCTGTCTGTTTTACCAGGAAGAAGATAATTGAATGCTGGATTTTTCAAGATATTTAATGTTACTTCTAACTAAGGAACCGAAGTAAAATATGATGCCTTGAAAAACTTGTATGATTGAAAACTGTTTAACTACTTACAAAGAGATTTAAATACACTCAGGGAATCAAGTGTTTTTAATAGGTGCTTGGATTAATACCATGATTTTTTATTTGTTTGTTTTGTATTTAATACTGCTTAATACAATAGACTATTCAAGACCATAACTGTTATTTTAACGTGGTATTTGTACATTTAGGAAGTTCAATCTAGGAGTCAGTTTGGTCTTATATGGAATTTTGTGGGAGTGAAATAATATGTACAACCAATTTGAAATATAGTGAATCTCATTATGCAACTCACATCACTTTTCAAAATTCAGTTACTTGAAGAAGCCAGGTAAAGTTCTTGGGTAAACTGCTGTGGTTTTGAAGAGGCAGAGAATCTGACTCATCCATGCCCAGTTCAAAATAGTCTTAAAATAAATGTTTATTGAATAAATAAAAAACAACCTTTCTTGAATACCCACTATAAACAAATACCACATAAGGTGGGCTCCACAACCATCTTTCCTTCCTCTTCATTTTCATAATGTTCATTTCTGGCCTTGACAGTACTATGTGTTTTTATCATACCCCTTCTTCATTTTAACTGCCACTTTCTTGGCCTAACTCAGTCACTCTTATCTGTATGATTGTTATAACATCTTATCTTACCTCCCTATTTCTAATCCTACCCTCTTCCATCCCACCCCACCCCCTAGACTGTCACAGAACAACTCATGAATGAATCAACTACTTATTCATTTACACTCTTCTTGCTTCCAAACAAAATTTAAAGCAGATAGATGATAATTTTTTAAATGAGCCTACTCTCAAAACTGATGGAACTAAAGGTTTAAGTGTTAGCATTTTGTTATATGTGAATTATACCTCAATTTAAAAAACTTTGAAAAGAATGTCAGTGTGGTGCAGTTAAAAATCTAAAACATAAGAAATGTAGAAAAATTATTCTAAGCATTATCTATATGCATTAGTCTAAAAATTATTCATTTCATATGTAGCAAATGTTTGTAAAAAGAATAAAAAAGTATTCTTGAAATATAAATCCATTAACACATTAGTAAAAGAATAAGAGCCAAGAGCTCAGGGGGAGAGAGAAAGGTGGAAGGGGCAGCATGTGAAATAATGATGTTAGAAAAATCTAGGCTAAAGGAAACTTCTGCATTTGACACAGGCAACAACAACAATAAAAAAGAAAATATAGTGGATTATGTAGTTCTCATTTAATGAAAGGGAACATTTCAGATTATCAAGGGAAAACCTTTGCTTTATCTCAGATACTGTGAATCTTTACACATGAACCATTAAAAACCATGACAGATTTTTTTTTTTTAATGGCAGAAACATTTATCATTTGCTATTTCTTGTTGGCCTTTAATTTAAGAACAGCACCAAGTGTCAAATTGTAGTTCTGGGAAAACATTTTGTTCATTGCTAGATTAATATAGTCTGCTTATATGCGATAATTTAGTTTAATGAGTAAATTTGATAATCTAGTGCAAAGAATTTCTGCTTGAGGACTTCGGAGCTTCTGAAACCCCTGTTGTATACTTTTGATCCCCCTGGGACTAGGTTCATAGCTTTTATCAGGTTCTCAAATAAGACTGACTAAAAACAGTTAAGAAACAACTGATCTAAAGAAATGACTGATTAGCAAGTCCTGCAGGCTATTCCTTTGGAGTAAGTACCTGGATCCTTCATTCTGAAAGTTTTTCTCTGTGGACAGACTAGAAGGAATCAAGACTCTTAGTTATTAGTACAAATTCTTTATGAATGAAAAAGTGAATTGTATATGTAGGCAATAACATATAAATCCATAAACTTTATTTTTGGATGGGGAAGTGTGACAGTGTCCTGTAAAGAGCACCACAGGGAATCAGAAGAGCTTGGTAGGCAATCACATGATCTTTCTAAGATTCTGGTTCCTTGGCTATAAAATGAGGGAGTTGGACTGTTCAAAGGTCCCTTCCTTCTTCTGTATTTGATTTTGATTCTTTGAATACTTTGAATGCTTAAGCTGCCAGATTGATTTTTTTCACTTTTAGGTATGACAAATTAAGGAGTCACTTTTCATTCTTTATGTTTAAGGATTTCTGATTTTGAAACCAAGCCGTACAAGAAATACGTTGCTTAAGCCAAAAGTCTTATAATTCAAGAAGAATTTTGTTAATATCTTGTTATTCTATAAAGATTAAACTTTAAAAAAAGTTTATATTTCAAAAGTATTTTTTTTTTAATTTTTTTATTGTACTTCGGGTGAAGGCTGACAGAACAAATAGTTTCTCATGAAACAGTAGTACACATATTGTTTTATGACATTGGTTAACAACCCCACAACATGTCAACCCTCTCCCTTCTCGACCTTTTTTTTTTTCTGGTGAAAATATACATAGCCAAAGATACACCATTTCAAAAATTTCTGCATGCACAGTTCAGTGACATCGACTATGCTCTTCCAGTTGTGCTGCTATTCTCACTTTAGATGAAGCCTTACAGAACAAAGTAGTTTCTCATTTAACAGTACACATGTTGCCCTATGACAATGGTTGACAACCTCACAACACATCAACACTATCCTTCCTCAACCTTGGGTCAGTAGTATTTTTTAAAAGCTCCTCCTTTCCAAAACATAAATAAGATACCATGTTCTTTCACTATAAAATTAATTGAAGACGAATTGATCTAAACCTTAAAGTTATTCTCTCATTAAAAGTTTTGATGGCCATAATTGGAGCTGTACCTAAAATAATATTGAGAATGTGGGATGTGCAAAAAAGTAGATGTGAAGTTTAAACTGAAAAAAGTTTGTTCAAGTTCAATAGAAAGTATAGAAAGTGAAATTCTAAAATTCTAACCTTATTTTATTCATTTTGAATTCAGCAAGTGTTTGCCATGGTGAGATTTAATGCTTTTGAGTTGTTTCCAGCTCTAGTTTACACTTCTGAAAAAAACATGTTTTTCCCATTTTGGATTTTTTTTCTTTTGGAAGGCTTTTATGATAGATTTTTATTTAGGTTCAGAAATGAACAAAACTTTTCCAGTTTGAGAAATGAACATTTGTAATTTATGTTGGTGAAATAGAGTTATTTTCTATAAAAAAAATCTTTAGTTTAAGAGGAAAATTTATTAAATTCTGGACAAATTTAATATTACTGTGAATCTGTTGGTATAATTTTAAAGTGATTTACCTTCCTGTCATTGCAAACACTTAACACTTTGTTACTTTTTACTGGAGCATGAGTCATCTACCCAAGTTCAAAGAGTTGAACAAGCTTATAGGGTTGGATGGGAGTAGA